ATGCAAGTAGTAAATTATATATTTTAAGCTATTCTTGTCTAATTATAATTTGGAAATATTTTTTAAGTCCTTAAAATAGAAATTTGTTAATTATAGTTATTTACACTTAAACCCTTAAATTTGAAAGTTTCAATGTGGTCCTTAAGTAAGATAACACTTTCGAAATTATTAAGAATAGTGATAATCAACATGTGTGAAATGAAGAGAATTTTATTTCTATTTTATACTCAATAAATGATCATATGGTTCCAAATTGTGTGGTTGGATCCTTTTAAATTTTAGATGAATTCAACATGGTTCATGTTGTAAAGTTAAGTTTGAATTCAAGCTGTGGTGAGATATTGATTAGCTAACATACGATAAATCCAATGAAATTATTTGAATTATGATGCTTGATTTTGTTTCGATGATAGAAATTTTATATTACCTATGTTTTCTGATTATTTCATTTTAGTTTAAATTTTCGTTAACATCTTTGACCCAGTTTTCGTCTTGATCGGGTAGAGGATGTTACAATCCATCTCTGGGTGATAAACAGTGCTGAATATTTTAGTTGTACCTAACTTCCTCATAAGCTCCTTCCAAAACAGACTTGTAAATGTACGATCTTGATCCGAAATAGTTATCCTTGGTCGAACATGCAATTTATATACTTGACTTAGGTAAGACTTAGATACCTTAACTACTGTGTAAGGGTGGGTCAACCCTATAAAGTGTCCATACTTGGTATACTTATCGATCACTACAAAAATGCAGTTAAACTTCATAGAACTAGGGAGTCCTTCTATAAAATCCATTGTGAAAATTTCCCATGTTTGCTTTGAAATTTGTGAAGGTTGTAATAACCCTAGTTTATGGACTCATTCATCTTTGACTCTTTGACACACATCGCACTGTCGAATGCATTCATGAACATTATATTTCATTCTAGGTCAATAAAAGTAGGAATGTAATCGTTGATATATCACTTGAATATTAGAATATCTTCTCTGTGGAGAATCATGTAGAGTTTGAAGTACTTGTTGTTATTGAGTCAATCGATCAAGGAAAAATGACCAATAGGGGGTGAATTGGAAATTTAAAAAATTATTGGAAGCTTTTGAAAGAAGTGAGAAATTGGTACTAGGATTTTAGAGTGGCTCAACTTCCTTAATGAAATCTACATCTACTACCTTAGCTTCCTAACTAAGGATTTCAGCAAATTCACTAATTTGTTCTAAACTTTTAGGACAAAGTGTAACCTTACACAAGATTAAGACTTATACTGCAAAGTCATAAGTGTTTAACCATTCCCAAGAAGTAAATAAAAATGACCAAACTTTGAATATCCTCACAAAGATAGAATGTTTACAAATTGAAGCTCTTACACATACCCAAGAAAATTATAATAAAAAATACAATAAATGGAATAGTGTTCTATGCAAGAAAGGCACAATGGAATACAAATTTGGCTTTACTTGCTCTTTGATTATTGAATATCTTTCTTGTCATTGCTTGGTCGTTTGAAGACCCCTTTTATATTCTAGCCATTTGAGGTTGTTAGAGGGGAGTTTGAAGCCATTTAAAGCATTAAATTTATGCATTAATCCACCTGCACAGGAAGTTTCAAAACTATAAAGAAAGTTTCAAAACTCTTTGAAATATGAATTAATTAATATGATCGTTGGAGGTTAAAGTATCAAAAGTTTAAGGAAAGTTTCAAAACTCTTGTGAAGTTTCAAAACTCCAAAGCCTACTGTTTTGGAAAGTTTCAAAACTTCTGGTAAAAGCTTGTTTTGAAAGATAATTTTTGACATTTTGAGAAAGATATGACTTTGAAAATTTGTTCTAAAATAGTTGAATGATATTTTTAACATAATATGAACTTTAAAGACTTATTTTGAAGGTTGGACAAAAGGACTTAAAAATAATTTTACAAAAAATAATATATATAAAAATATATATTATGTTATACCAAAATCATTTATGTTTATCAGCTGCCTTAGGTGACCCGAACTCCCTATATAAATCTTCTCACGAAATCTTAAAATACTTTTCTTATAAGTCCAATCTTTAACAAAGTCTGACTATATTGCAATAGATGGTATTAGTTTTGTAGCCAAATCATCTTGGTCATAAGTTGCTTCAATCTTAATTACCCATTGAGAAACTACAAGTATTGGTGACATTGGAAGAAGTTCTGCTTGCTCTTCATAATTATGTGAAAGTGCATTTGCCACTAAATTGTGTTTTCCTTTTCAGTAGTGAATTTCATAGTCAAGACCCAAAAGCTTAGTTAATCCTTTCTTTTTTATCTCTTTGGTTAATTTTTGTTTCAAAATGTGCTTAACATTTCATGATCTATTTTGATAACAAAAGGCATGTCATCAAAATAGTGTCTATTTAAAGACTGTCATTAGAATTGTTAGGTATTTTTTTCTCATAGATTGATAGATCAGTGTGTTTTGGTCCCAATGTCTTACTAAGGTAAGCAATAGGTCTTCCTTCTTGAGATAACATTACTCCAATTCCTCTGGGAATTGCTTCATTTTTTAGGTGAAATTTCTTTGTAAAATTAGGTAAGGCTAGAATAGATGCCTTGCATATAGCATCCTTCAGGTGATGAAAAACTTCTTTAGCCTCCTCAAAACATTTAAATTCCTCTTTCTTCAACATATTTGTAAGCGGTTTACTAATTTCTCCATGGCACTTTATAAACTTCCTATATTACCATGTTAATCCCAAAAATACTCTCAATGATTTGATAGTTTTTGTAGTTGACAATTATGCATTGCTTCAACTTTAGAAGGGTTTGTAGCTACTCCTTTCAATGATATAATATAGCCCAAATACTTCACTTTTGTAAATTTCTTCCTTCGAGAAAATAACTTGTGTTACTTTAACAATTCCAAGATCACCTGCAAGTATTGTAAATGCTCTTCCAAGCTAGAGTTGTACACTAAAATATCATCAAAAAAATTAATAAGAATTTTCTTAAGTAAGGACCAACTACCTGATTCATTAGTGATTGAAATGTGGTTGATGCATTTGTTAATCCAAATGGCATTACCTTAAATTCATGATGTCCTTGGTGGGTTATAAAAGTTGTCTGCGGGACATTTTCTTCTTTAAATCTAATCTGCCAATAACCCGATCAAATATCAATTTTAGAATTGTATGTAGCTCTAGTTAACTCATCCAATAAATCTTCCACAATAGGAATGGGGAACTTGTCCTTGACAGTTAGCTTGTTTAACTATTTGTAATCCACACAAAGTCACCATCTGTCATCTTTCTTTTTAACAAAGAGGCATAGGGATGCGAATGGGCTCTTAATGTGTTGAATAATAGAGGATTTCAATATTTTTTGTTAACTACCTTTCTACTTTTGTTTCCTTATGATAAGGAAATATGTAAGGTCATAGATTGATAGGTTGTACACTGGGTTCTAGTTGTATGGTGTGATCATGACTTCGAGAGGGGTAAATGGAGTTCTGCAAATATTGTTGCATATGTTGTTAATAATGGTTGGATAACTGTAGGAGTTTCTTCTTGTTTTATTCCCTAGCATCATTAGAAAAAAAATCTCCCATAATATTTGCATCCTTAGCTGTCATTTTTTGCAATTTAGCCCCATAAATCATTTTAATTAAAGAGCTTGTGTTTCTAACATGTAGTGTAATTTTTTATTGTCCTTTGTGAATTTCAAAGCCATATTATTAAAATCCATCAAGATATGACTATACATTTTTATCCAGTAGAGCCGCACCACCATGTTGTTACCCCTCATGTGCAGGACTCTAAAATCGTGTTGAAAGGTATATTTCTGCATTTTCCATTCTAGGTCTTTATTTTTTACCGTACTTTTTAATTTTTGACCCCCTGCTTGTAATACCCCAAATTTTGGGCTAATAGTTTATGGTTTATCGGTGAGGTAAGTGGACATCGTGGAATAAATAATTAAAATTGTTGGGCTGAGTGTGAGCTTAATTGTGTTGTAATTGAGCCCAGTTAACCATAAAAGAAGGCTTTTGAATTTTATAAAGATGAAAAAGAACCAATTGTACAATTTTACCTTTTTTAAAAAAAAAAAGATGAAAGCTTTTTAACTATTTCATCTCTTTCTTCTCTTCATTTGTTCATTCTTCCTCATTTTCCTTCTCTGATTTTTCTTTCCAAGTTCTATAGCACCAAGCTAAGTTCTTGAGCCCTTTTCATGCTTCAATTTATTTCTTTTCCCTCCAGCAACATGATTTTAGTGAATCAAATTCTTGGGTTCTTTCTAGTTAAAGAACAATAGGGGTTTTCATCCAAATCATAAAGGAAATGAGTGTGGCTAAGCAATAACTTTCATTTTGGGATTCAAACATCAAGGTATTGTATTTCTAATTCTTTAGAGTGTTAAGCTTTCATAAGCATGATGATTTGTTAAGATTTTAGTTTTATATTTGATTCATGACATATATAATGAATTTGTTGTAAAACATGTGTTTTTATGACACTTTAAGACCCTAGGTAACTTCCTAAAACTTTAGCACATGATTAGGAATCAAAATAAGACATCCAAGATGATTTTGGGTGTTTATCAAGCTTAAATAAGATATTTCTAGGTTCAAGTATCGATAATGGATTAACAATATCAATGTTGGATGATTTGAGACGAAAATTAGGGATTTCCAGTTGAGAGTATTGATAATGCCCCTACAGTATCAATACTGAGGGTACTTAGTATCGCTATTAGGCTACTTTTTAGCAAACAGAAGCTCTTTTGGTACGATACTTATAGGGGTATCGATATTGCAAGTAGAGTATCGATACTACTCACTTTGGATGGTTAGATTTGACCTATTTAAGGCCCGTAAGAGCTAATGATGGTCCATAATGGTAGAACTTAGTCCGTGGGGACATAAATGGCCAAAAGGGCCTAGAAACACTCGTAAGAGTGGGTTACAACTAGAGTAACCATAATAGACGTAATGCGTCTAAGTATTTTCAGTTGAACACGCAACAAATACCTAAGAATGAAGGATCGTTACAAAGGAGGTACTAATAAGAGGTATGATGAAATAATCAGATCATAAAATAGTGAAGTTGTGTACTGCAAAAATTAGCAAATGGTGAACGTACAATTGTCCTTCCAATTCAAGTGTGAATTGTGGGAAAGCATAGTAAGAGCAATTAAAGTGTCGTGACCCAATAATGAAACTGATTCAGATATCGGGATAGCTAATGTTACAGACAACGAAACAAGCACAACAATCATCGTAAAATCATGAAATGCGTAGAGACTTCTCTATAGATAGAAATGACTAAAATGCCCTTAAGCAACGAATGACCAGAATATAACAACTTAATAAATTAATAACAGTAACAAACTAATAAACCTTCGTATAACATTCTAGAAGAGAGAACGAGCGAGATGGTAACTAGTGAGGGGTTAAACTTACTTTATTGTGTCGAGCTACACTTGTGTGTAGTTAGGTTACCTTAGTTACCCTATTGGGGCATTGCTAGTGTGCGAGGAACTTTAAAGGTTAACTAGGGCATGAGGCTCGAATAGTCACGGTGGGTGGGTTAGCGATGTTAGTTTTTGTGGCCTTTGGGCCCTTAGATATACATGTATAGTTGCATCAGTCTAGTACAACATGTATCCTTAAAGCTTAGCTTGATGGTTGTGTGAGTTCATGCCAATGCTTTAGATAAGCAAGAATTGTAACGATGTTATGTGACATCGGGTTCCCATTCCATGATCTACCTGGTGGCTAAGTGAGGACTTAGAGATCATTCAGTAGTTTAGTGGGAATTTTACCGATGCTATGTGACACTAGGTTTCCTTAGTTAACTAGTGTTTGATGGCTATGTGAGACCGGATACTAGTTAGTGTGGCATGTAGATAATGTACAACAAAGTTAGTGTTGCATTCAAATAATACATAGGAGTGTCAGTGTCGCATTTAGATAATGAATAGCAATTATAGTCGTTAGGGTTAGAGACCCTTTAGAGGTGTTGTAATATCCCGAAATTCAGGGTCAGTGACTAAATTGCAAATTTTGAAAACTATGTGCTTGATTTCGAAATAAGTTAAAAGTTCATGGATTTAGTAGTAAAGCTAGAAAGTAACAAGGGTATTATGGTCTTTTCTAAGAGAAGATTTTTATTTTCCCTTTTTAAGGAAACCACGTGGGAAAGGAGAGAATTATCCAGAGTCTTCTTCTCCAGCTTCTTCTTCTCCCCGTAAGCCTCATTTAAAGGTGAGTTTAATTTCAGCTGTTTAATTCTTGGATTTATAAGTTGATTTTGATTCTTGGAGTATTATATAAGCTTAAGGAAAGCTTATATAAGCTTTAAACATCAAGAATAGAGAATTAGAAAGGAAATGATATGAAGGGTGTAGAAATGAAATTTTGTTATAGAAAGGTTTTTGAAGTTCTAAAGATGGATTTGACTTGTCAAGGGTATAATTAAGAAGCTAGAAGCAATAGAATTGAATTTGGAACATGTTGAAAATTTAGTGTAATTCTTGAATTACATATGGAGAATAGGATTTTGATGTTAAAGAGGTGATTAATGAATATGAATGAGTTTGAATATGAGTATGTAAGTTAAAAATAGAAAGGGGATGATATATGACGTATTAAGCTGAAAAGAGAGGATTTTTGGGCATAAAAGAGGATTCTGGGCAGAGTGCATCGATGCACATTCATAGTGCATCGATGCATCAAGGTTAAAACCCAGAAATTGTTTGAGGTGTATCGATGCATTGGTAATGCATCGATGCACTCTTTTAAAATAGAAACATCGAATGCAATTAGTGCATCGATGCATAAGTCATGCATCGATGCATCCCTATAATAAACATCGAATGCATTTTATGCACCGATGCATCAGTAGTGCATCGATGCATACCTTCATTAAAAGATGAAATTGGCTTTTCTTGAGCCTAAGGAGTGATAGTTTCGAATATATCAATCAGTATACTGATAAGTATTAATGTATTAATGTAGATATAGAATGAAAGCTTGTTCCGGAACAAACTAAGGATTAGGATTGATTCAAAACAACGAGGCCCAGGTGAGTGCATCTTATTGTATAAGATTATATGGAAATTGGACTTGTGATAAGTCTATTCTTATAGTAATAGCTCATTAAGTCTTGATTATAAGTATGTTAACGATATGAAGTGTATGTATGTTTGATTATATGAATTGATATGTTTGTTTTGTATGTGCTATGTGATTATGTAAAAATACGGTTAAGTGTTAATGAGAGAATATAAAATAAGTTATGAAATCATATGAATATAGAAGATAAGTCAAGAGATGTAGGGAAATGAAAATAGATGTTTATAAAGAGTCATAGGAGAACAAATATAAGTATATGATAATGAAATATAAGGCTATGTGAATACATGGTTATGAGATAAAATATGTAAGAATAGGAAAGATGATGAGAGTGAGTTCATGAGAAGTGATATGAACTAGGTAAACATGAGTTGGACAAGTACATAGTGGTATGATCCATTATGGGAATTACTGTAATAGAGCTTTTTGATTAAAGAGAGTTAAGGGAACTAAATAAGATTGAATTATAGAATGAAATGGAATAGTATATCAATTAGGAAACTTGAATATAAAGGGACGATACGAATATACAAGATAAGTTATATGCTAAATATCTATGGAGCTATATGAAAAGATTATAATGAAATTATGAAATTGAATTAAGTAAATAGATTAAATTATTACCTAAATAAAAATACTATTAAATGATTATATTTAGAAATACGATATAAGCTATGTGAAAGTGTTCTAGGTGTTTCTATATGTTATATGAAGTATATGATCATATGTGAACAAGATATGATAAGTATGTTTACATGAATAAATGTGATTGGGTGAGAAATGATAGAAATTATATGAAAATATGTATATGTGAATTAGCTTTGTAATTAGGTAAATATATGAAATCATAACTATGAATTATGTGATGTGAAAGTAATCTATGTGATTATATGTTATATGAATACAAGAACATGAGATATGTGACATGTGAATTATATGGAAATGATCTACGTGTAAGTGAACTATGTGACTATGTGATAATATGAAAAGAAGTTATGTGATACGTGATATGTGAAAGTGAATTACATGTTTATGTGAATATTTGAAATGAAATAAATGATAATGCCCATGTTATGTGTCATGAGAGCTAGGGGTATAGTTGGCATGCCAAGAGTCGAGGGTCTACGCGGTCCTTCGGGACATATGTATATTCTTTGGAACATTTATGAGGTCTTTGAGGCACATACTTGGTCCTTAGTATATGTATATGATTCTTAAGGAATGATATGTGGTCCTTATGGACATTATATGGCACTACGGTGCAATTCTACGCGGTCCTTCGGGATATATATATATTCTGTGGAACATGTGTGAAGTCTTGTAAGACACATACTTGATCCCTAGTATATGTATATGATTCTTAAGGAATAATATGTGGTCCTTATGGACATTATTATAGGGCACTACGGTGCAATTCTACGTGCACTTCAGTGCAATGATACGAGCTGAGGTGACAGTATTAGTGCACAACCTCTATAGACTCACATATCGATAGTTCTCACAAGTGTACCATGGGCTAATCAAAGAGATAACATAAATACAATATATATAATGTATATGCTTTTGGTGAAATGATATACAAAAATGATAAGTACAAGATCATGTGATAAATAATTCGATGATAATGATAGAGATAATGATAATAATATATATGATAATGCTAAGAAAGTAGATGATGATATATGTACATGAGTGTCTTTGTTATATAAAAAGGTATATGATTTTGTATGATAAGTTAGTATTAAATGTTCATGTGTTTTGTTATATGGAATGTTTTATTATTTCTATTATATGTTTTATTTGCCTCACTAAGTCATCGACTTAGCGTGTGATTGTTTCACACGTAGGTTCAAGAAGAATATAGAGAGCAATGTGGAGAAAGACAGGTTAGTTACTTCTTACCGAAGATCATATCAGAAAAGATGTTTTGAATTAGATGTATTATGTACATTGAAAATGGTTGGCATGTAAATAAATGTCTGAATTGTATATGCACTAAACGGTTTTGCAAAAACATTTAAGCTCTGAATAGTTCTGGAAATCTTTTGAATAAGCTACATGTATAAAAGTTTTAAATTACTCACTATTTTATACAAGTAAATGTTTTGAAAAAGTCGATGTGACATCTCGGACTCGAATCTAGGTCGGGTACGGGTTGGGGGTGTACATTTAATGGTATCAGAGCTAAGGTTTAGCCGATTTTAGGCTTAAACCGAAGTCAAAGGAGGTTTAAAATGTGTACATGCCAACTAAAGGTGACAATTTCTGATCTGATAGTGTAAGGAGTATACTGTCTTGCTAATAGAATAAGATTTGTATGAGATAGTAAGAATTGATTATAGAAATTGTCAAAGTAAAGTAAATCAATAACTGACAAATCTGATGGTGATAGCAATTCACCTGCCCTGGCCAGGCAGGATGAAGAGCAGAAACCTCAGAAAGTGTCTTATAAGATTAAAGGTTGATTTCAGAAAGTTGAAATCATATTAGAATAGTGATAAAAGATCTTTATTGTGTTGAATCGGAAAAGTTATATGAATTAGTTTTGTTAGTATGTGGATAAGATAGAATATGGTGAACAAATGTCACCATAAGAGCGTTAAAAAGATCAACTGATGTAGTAAGATTTGGTAGAAGAATTCAAGAATAAGTATGTTAGTGACAAGCGTATAAGATGTATAAGTCAGAGCTTATGATTTCGAAATGAAGGGATAACATTGTGTATAAGCCAGAGTGTTTATATGATAAGGGTTTGCAGTTAAGACGGAAAAAGTTAGCGTTGGCTAACAAGAATATGTGATGGGAATGTACGGGAAGTATAAGAATGTAAGATATTGTCGGGATATGATAATCAAATATGGAATGGATCTGGATACAGTTGTATATTTAAGTAAAGCTGAGAATTGATAAGAAGAGTTTGAGAATGTGTATATCGATAATTAGTTTATAAGACAAAGAAAGTCATAATGTTGAGTTTGAACAACGGAAATTTCGGGATGTATATGATTGGATGATTAGGACTTGTGCCCTAGATTGAACAGATGTTATTGAATAGCTGTCATAGTAAAGGTGATAGAGTTATAAGATTGAAGGAAAAGATAAAGTTGAGTTAATTGATTATGATGTGAATTTGAATATAGTTGTATATTCTGAGCAAATAGCTATGATGTAGAAACAGAGATAAGTATTTACATGGAACCTTCAGGAAGGAAAATACAAGTATAAGAAATGATAAAGAATGAAGTTATGTATAAGAAATGGGTTATCAGAGTAATGAGGATGCAATGAAGATTGGTACATAAAGATGAGTATAAGTGATAAGACAAGAGTATGTGAACATGAAAGGAAATATATGATTTATGTATAAGGAAAAAGGAATAAAAAAATGAAAGGGATTGATTTAAAGGATCAGATACGATAAATATGGAAGTACATATGACAATTTTGATATACAAATAAGACAAGTGTGCAAGGTGATGTGAAAATATTCTTTAAAGTGTATGTTGAATCGTATTTAAGAAGATTTAAGGTCGTATTCTTGGTTAAATGATGATGGAAAATGAATTTGGTTATTATAAAGTATTTAGAGATGAATTTATGATGTTAAGTGATGAAAATTGATGTTACCGTCTATGTGATTAGTGACATTATATGAAATTTCAGAAATGGTCAAAGGAAAATGCATAAAGGAAGGAGAGAGAAGACATAAATGGATTAAAGTTACTAGTTACTGTTTATATGATAAGTGTCAGTACATGAATGTATAAAGGAAAAAAGCAACTGAAGAAATAAAGGAATGAAAGATTAAGTGAAAGAGATAGTATGAGAACATTAGAAGATATGTTCTTATTGATATGTTCAGTGAAAATTCGAGGACAAATTTTCTTTAAAGGAGAGGAGATTTGTAACATCCCGAAATTCAGGGTCAGTGACTAAATTGCAAATTTTGAAAACTATGTGCTTGATTTCGAAATAAGTTAAAAGTTCATGGATTTAGTAGTAAAGCTGGAAAGTAACAAGGGTATTATGGTCTTTTCTAAGAGAAGATTTTTATTTTCCCTTTTTAAGGAAACCACGTGGGAAATGAGAGAATTATCTAGAGTCTTCTTCTCCAGCTTCTTCTTCTCCCCGTAAGCCTCATTTAAAGGTGAGTTTAATTTCAGCTGTTTAATTCTTGGATTTATAAGTTGATTTTGATTCTTGGAGTATTATATAAGCTTAAGGAAAGCTTATATAAGCTTTAAACATCAAGAATAGAGAATTAGAAAGGAAATGATATGAAGGGTGTAGAAATGAAATTTTGTTATAGAAAGGTTTTTGAAGTTCTAAAGATGGATTTGACTTGTCAAGGGTATAATTAAGAAGCTAGAAGCAATAGAATTGAATTTGGAACATGTTGAAAATTTAGTGTAATTCTTGAATTACATATGGAGAATAGGATTTTGATGTTAAAGAGGTGATTAATGAATAGGAATTAGTTTGAATATGAGTATGTAAGTTAAAAATAAGAAAGGGGATGATATATGAAGTATTAAGCTGAAAAGAGTGGATTTTCGGGCATAAAAGAGGATTCTGGGCAGAGTGCATCGATGCACATTCATAGTGCATCGATGCATCAAGGTTAAAACCCAGAAATTGTTTGAAGGTGTATCGATGCATTGGTAATGCATTGATGCACTCTTTTAAAATAGAAACATCGAATGCAATTAGTGCATCGATGCATAAGTCATGCATCGATGCATCCCTATAATAATACAACATTGAATGCATTTTATGCACCGATGCATCAGTAGTGCATCGATGCATACCTTCATTAAAAGATGAAATTGGCTTTTCTCTGAGCCTAAGGAGTGATAGTTTCGAATATATCAATCAGTATACTGATAAGTATTAATGTATTATTATGTAGATATAGAATGAAAGCTTGTTCCGGAACAAACTAAGGATTAGGATTGATTCAAAACAATGAGGCCCAGGTGAGTTCATCTTATTGTATAAGATTATATGGAAATTGGACTTGTGATAAGTCTATTCTTATAGTAATAGCTCATTAAGTCTTGATTATAAGTATGTTAACGATATGAAGTGTATGTATGTTTGATTATATGAATTGATATGTTTTGTTTTGTATGTGCTATGTGATTTATGTAAAAATACGGTTAAGTGTTAATGAGAGAATATAAAATAAGTTATGAAATCATATGAATATAGAAGATAAGTCAAGAGATGTAGGGAAATGAAAATAGATGTTTATAAAGAGTCATAGGAGAACAAATATAAGTAATATGATAATGAAATATAAGGCTATGTGAATACATGGTTATGAGATAAAATATGTAAGAATAGGAAAAGATGATAAGAGTGAGTTCATGAGAAGTGATATGAACTAGGTAAACATGAGTTGGACAAGTACATAGTGGTATGATCCATTATGGGAATTAGTGTAATAGAGCTTTTTGATTTAAAGAGAGTTAAGGGAACTAAATAAGATTAAATTATAGAATGAAATGGGAATAGTATATCAATTAGGAAACTTGAATATAAAGGGACGATACGAATATACAAGATAAGTTATATGCTAAATATCTATGGAGCTATATGAAAAGATTATAATGAAATTATGAAATTGAATTAAGTAAATAGATTAAATTATTACCTAAATAAAAATACTATTAAATGATATATATTTAGAAATACGATATAAGCTATGTGAAAGTGTTCTAGGTGTTTCTATATGTTATATGAAGTATATGATCATATGTGAACAAGATATGATAAGTATGTTTACATGAATAAATGTGATTGGGTGAGAAATGATAGAAATTATATGAAAACATGTATATGTGAAATAGCTTTGTAATTAGGTAAATATGAAATCATAACTATGAATTATGTGATGTGAAAGTAATCTATGTGATTATATGTTATATGAATACAAGAACATGAGATATGTGACATGTGAATTATATAGAAATGATCTACATGTAAGTGAACTATGTGACTATGTGATAATATGAAAAGAAGCTATGTGATACGTGATATGTGAAAGTGAATTACATGTTTATGTGAATATTTGAAATGAAATAAATGATAATGCCCATGTTATGTGTCATGAGAGCTAGGGTATAGTTGGCATGCCAAGAGTCGAGGGTCTACGCGGTCCTTCGGGACATATGTATATTCTTTGGAACATTTATGAGGTCTTTGAGGCACATACTTGGTCCTTAGTATATGTATATGATTCTTAAGGAATGATATGTGGTCCTTATGGACATTATTATATGGCACTACGGTGCAATTCTACGCGGTCCTTCGGGATATATATATATTCTGTGGAACATGTGTGAAGTCTTGTAAGACACATACTTGATACCTAGTATATGTATATGATTCTTAAGGAATAATATGTGGTCCTTATGGACATTATTATAGGGCACTACGGTGCAATTCTACGTGCACTTCGGTGCAATGATACGAGCTGAGGTGACAGTATTAGTGCACAACCTCTATAGACTCACATATCGATAGTTCTCACAAGTGTACCATGGGCTAATCAAAGAGATAACATAAATACAATATATATAATGTATATGCTTTTGGTGAAATGATATACAAAAATGATAAGTACAAGATCATGTGATAAATAATTCAATGATAATGATAGAGATAATGATAATAATATATATGATAATGTTAAGAAAGTAGATGATGATATATGTACATGAGTGTCTTTGTTATATAAAAAGGTATATGATTTTGTATGATAAGTTAGTATTAAATGTTCATGTGTTTTGTTATATGGAATGTTTTATGATTTCTATTATATGTTTTATTTGCCTCACTAAGTCATCGACTTAGCGTGTGATTGTTTCACACGTAGGTTCGAGAAGAATATAGAGAGCAATGTGGAGCAAGACAGGTCAGTTACTTCTTACCGAAGATCAGATCAGAAAAGATGTTTTGAATTAGATGTATTATGTACATTGAAAATGGTTGGCATGTAAATAAATGTATGAATTGTGTATGCACTGAACGGTTTTGCAGAAACATTTAAGCTCTGAATAGTTCTGGAAATCTTTTGAATAAGCTACATGTATAAAAGTTTTAAATTACTCACTATTTTATACAAGTAAATGTTTTGAAAAAGTCGATGTGACACCTCGGACTCGAATCCAGGTCGGGTACGGGTTTGGGGGTGTTACAAGTGTGATCATGGCGAGGCCCTTAGTAGAGAATTAAGGGAAGTGTGAGACTTCTACTTCCGTGATAGAATAGTTGAGCCCTCTAAGTAGGTAGCACTCGATTAGGACTATGCATGTACATACTGCTTAGTACCATGTTGATGCTTTGAATAATGTAACGGCTATCAATGCAAGCATACACTATCATATCAAGTAATAAAGTGGATGCAAATTAATGCATCGAGTATCATATCCATAGATACTATTATTACTCAAAGAATTGTTATAGCACTAAGTAAATAAAATAACAAAATTGTGTAGGTGATGTTGGGAACAAAACAATAAAAAAATATAATAGATAAAATAAATATGCGAGTAAAGATATGAAAGGATGAAGGGAATCACAACAGTGGAAATGAAAGCAATGGATCAGTTTAAGCTAAAGATTAGGGTTTTGTTAAACTCAATCATGCGATTAAAGATGCACATCAATAAGATCAATGCATCTAGCATTAGCTTAGCAAGTTTTCCTCTCTCGGTGGCTCTACCAAGAAACTCATAGGAATGTTATATCTCTATACCCACTAACACAAATTTACCAAGTATGTTATGACAATTAGTCAGTTAGATCTCTCTATACTAAAATGTTTCTCTCATAATCACTGATGCTCTAAAAATGTCACTCACCTCTCGATGCAATAGACTAGGCAATTATATATCTATATATTAAAAGCCTTAATAAAATTGAGCAAACACCAATCGAATCAATGGACAAAATTAATTAAACATGAAATTCATAAAATATAGTTAAAATCATAAACATCTAAGGTTTAACCAATCCCACATAAATTTAAGTGTATTTCAACTAAACAAAAATAAAAACTCCCTCTCGTATTCTTTTTATCGTTGTTGTTGTTGTTGAAGTTGTCGCCGATCACCAATCATCACCTCTCAGTGCTATGACTTTTGCCTTCACATCCAACTATTTCCCTTCCCCCAAAATTACCTAAGTGGCATGACTAACGATGGAGGAAAAAACAAAATAAAACCCTAAAAATCTCTCCCTTTAATTAGTTACAATCGCCTCCTTTATATAATGATTAAAAACCCTAAAAATAGAGTTTAAGCTCACATTAAATTGAGAATACTTTTCCGTTAAGACTCCTTTCCATATTAGGATTTTTTTCCAACTATCAACAACTTTATACCCGCGTATCAGTTGCTACAGCAACGGCCCAGTAGTCCTGCCTCGCATCAGTGCACAACAACAGCTGTAGCATCAAACAACATCGCAACATCATGGTAACAATATCATAACAAAATATCATAATTAGTCCAATAATTATCAAATCACTCCCAGCAATGCACGTAATGCAAAATTAACTAAAAACATTTTAAATGTGATTTTAATATACTAAAGTGAAAACATAAACCTAAGTAAAAATGCTCTAAATAATAACTCTTTTGGAGAGTTATCACATTTCTTTAGCATGCTTATGTTTATGGGACTCATAATTCTGCTCTAGATTAGCGACTATACTGTTGGGTTTTGTAAGCTCGACATTCGAATGTTTTTCGTTCACATGTCAATAGTTAGAGTCGTTCGTGGAGCACCGTCGCAACAGGACTTCCGGCATCTCCTTCAGAGAACTGTATTGTAGCTTTAGTGGCATATGTATTTATATGACCTTATTTACGTATTTGGTTTATCAACTCTGAGTTTGTACTATTTTTATTTTAAATTATGTGTCATAGAGCTCTAGTTTATAAAATGGTTTATAGCTGTTATCAATGTCTTTTGTGATACCATTCAGTATGTTTGAAATGAAAATAAATAGGTTTTGAAAATTAGGTTTGCCTCGACGGCCCAATGTGATACTTTAGGCCCATTTGGGTTTAGGGTGTTACACTACTACACTGATTACCAATGGATTAGTATGCACTAACTTTATCCCTTCCTTAGCCTAGCTTGGGTTAATAAAACTATGTGTACTCTCAATGTCCACTAAGATTGATAAAGGTTTCCCTTTTATGGTGCCACAAATTCAAGCATTGATATATATCTCAAGGTTTTCTTCATCTTTTCCACATCCTGAGAACTAACTTGTTCTTCCTCTGACATTTTATTTCATTCTACTTTTGTCATCATATTAAGTTGCTTGAATCTGTACTGGTGTGCGTGTCCAAATTTTTCCCCACAATGAAAACACATGTTGTTTGATCTTCTATAGTCTAGTAGGGCTTGTCTGTAGTTGTTTGGAGTGAAAGGGATTTTCTCAGTAGATGTAGTTGGAAAGTTAATTGTTCTTAGTGCCAAAGGATAATATGTAGTTGGATTTCCCTTCAGAATTGTTCTATTCTTTATGTTGTCCACCTCTAATGCTAATTCATAAAGCATTGTTTTTCTATAAGCCTCATCTAGCCTCTATGATTCATGTATTTTAACTTTGTGTTTTAATTCCTCCTTCAGTCCACTAATAAAACTGGAGATAAAGTAATTTGCTTCTAAATGTGGGTTCTGTTATAGCATGAAAGGCTTCAGTTCTTCGAATCTTGCTTGGTAATTTGCCACTGTTGACTTCTGAATTAGTTTGTTGAATTTGTCTATGACATCATGTATTTCATATCACAAAATTGATGACACAAATCAGCCACAAACTCATGTCATGTAACTCTATTCTTTTGCATTATATACCTATCGAATCATACCTCGACTTGCCTAATTAAGTGCATGGTAGTATACTCTAGCTTCCGGTGTTCAGGTACAACAAAAATTGAGAAGTATTTTTGGCACTTCTTGAGCCAACTCCTAGGATTAGTCCCATCAAACATATAGAGTTCAATCTTGGGTTTGGGAACATGTTGGTTATGTTCTCCTGGAAATAATTCTTCCTTCTCATACTGGTACCTTCGATGGTGGATTGTTTTGGTTTACAGTGTGTGATGGGTGGGTTCCAAGTAGGTTCTTGAGGAATTGAGTTTACTGTTTTTTATGGTCTATATGCTAATATTCATGGCTCATCAGTTTTGAAAGAATGTCTTTCTTTATTATTGATGATTGTACTTGTATTGGTTTCTTACCATCCAATTTGATGTGGCACTTTTGAGTTGTTTGTTCGTTGCTCATAGGGAAAGGTTCCCCTTCTTCTGCTACCTTGTTCACCAAGGCCAAGAATTTTTTAACGTATCAATGAGTTTCCTCCGTGCGTGATTCTAGTGCCATCAATATGTTTTTTAAGATTTCTATTTTGTCCATCATTCAGGGGGTTATTCTTGTTTCTTTGGTATATGTTCTTCTGTAATATCAAGTTGTGTGGTTGTAGACTCCTAGTTATTGGAGTTCTTGGTATGCATTTTCTTAGTCTTTTCCAGTTTGTTTTGGATCTTGAATTGGATGTGATACCATTTGTTATGACTCGAATAAGAAGAGAATGAGGTTTCAAAAAAATAAAGATTCGTGTATTTTATTTCTTGTTAGCTGAAATGATACAGGAATAATGCCTCTTTACATGTTTTTATACAAAGATACTAACTAACCCCTTTACTTGTACATGTGGCCTTCTAATTGGGTAATAATAAGACCCATTATTTATACACAGCCTAATAACACTACCTAATAGCCCAACTACCCGATCAGATGACACAACCCATTTAAACTCTATCCAGATGAAGTGGAGTCGTTTAATTTGCCCCCGTTACACAAATCACTCTATATCCCCTCAGATTGTCTCTGCTTGATCATTTCCTCAATCCCTAAATCCTCAATTCGCGTGTCTCATCTACAAAACCCTAAAATATCATCCCCAGTCGTAACATTTGGTAGCACTGACGGTAGTTTCACCCACATTTTTTTTTTGAAACGGTTGGCGAGGAGGCTACCATTTTTTTAGGCACTTGACTTTCGTTCTCAACTCTCTCTTTGGTTCTTATTTGATGAAATTGGATGTTATAGCATGTGCCCTCTCTAGAATTAAAATCTTCGTAGAGTTTGGGATTCCTATGAGGAAATTAAATTAGGATTTTAAAAGGTAAATCATACAAATGGTTATTAATGTTTGAGTATTTTTTTCCTACTGAAATTTCAATACTAACGAATTGATCATAAATGTTATTAACTTTCATTAACATGAGTGATGAGATGTTTACATGATTCAATGCTTATTTGGTAGCTTCTTTATTAGTTTTTTATTACTCTCTTTTTTTATATTTTCATCTCAAATATTTTTCTCCCACTACTTTGTTACGTCTCATTTCATTTTTCTACAACCCTCATCTTTATTGTAAATAATATAATTTTAACAATCAAAATTTAATATTTTTAATGAATTTTAAAAGCTAATTTTTCTTAAAGATTAAACTATATATAGATTAATATGATGAACAATGATAATATAAAGATTATATACATAGATGTAAAGGTGATGGCCAATCAATTGGCCAAAACCAATTGTTAGTTAAAATTTGTGATTTATTATTTAAAATAATATTTTTTATTATCGTTAAATCATCTTGAATCATTTAATTGTTTGTTAAAATCAGTAAAAAAAAATTACTAATCTCATGAAAATTGTTAAAGCAATATTATTTAGTGATGTATAATCTTTAAAATAAAAAAACGAAAATTAAAATAAATTTATCAGTTAACAATAATTTCATTTTTAATAAAATCATTTATTAGAGAATAAATGAATATGATTTAGAGAAAACAAAAATTTCAACGAAAAACCGACAATAATATTCATTTCAATTTTTAAATAAAAATATTTATTTTATACATTGAAAAAGATGTAATTTTAAAAAATAATAAGATTTAATTTCATTATATGTCCCAAAGCTATAATCATCATTTTAAATTTGTCTTTAAACTTTTGAATATTTCAATTTCATCCTTAAACTATGACTCTCATTCTAAATTAGTCCTTAAGCTTTTGGACATTCTAATTCCATCCCTAAATTATGACTTCTTTCTAAATTGATCCCCAAACTTTTGAAATTCTAAATTCATCCCCAAATTCATGCAAATATGTAATTAGTTTAAACCATTATTTAACCTAATTTTTGTTTTTTTCCAAATATAAAATAATATAACTTAGCCTAACAATTTTATTAGCAAGGGATGTGATTAGTATATACGTATAATTTGGGATGAAATTGGAATATTCAAAAAATTTAGGGACTAATATAGAATGAATACCATAGTTTGATGATGAAATTGAAATGTTCAAAAGTTTGAGGACTAATTAAGAAAGATAGTCATAGTTTAGGGATAAAATTGAAACATTAAAAATTTAAGGGCAAATTTAAAATGAGGGTCGTCCTTTAAAGATATATGATGCAATTAACTCAAATAATAATTATTAAAGATTCGGAGTAAAGTCCAACAATAACCTAAAATTACCATAGCTAGAGAACATTACAAAATACGAATAAATGGTATAATTGTAGGCATATAAAAGCTGAAAAAGCTGCATCTTCCCATTAACGTATCTCATACATGCACAAGCAAAGAGTGTTTGACTCCTACAACCCCAAACTAATACATTAGCAGATCATGTAAAACTACCCAAATCAACCAAAAATAGATCCCATCACTGCTCTTTCCAAATCCTTCCCGTCACTCTAAGCTTCAATTCTTTCCGGTCTCCCCCGGAGAAGAACAAAGCCATGTTGCGTTGGATCATGAGACCGTCGAAACTGTCACGGACCTTTCTATGACTGTCCCTTATGCTTCTCGGCACCCCTTGCCAAATGATCTTCCTTCCATTCCCACCCACCTCTAGGCTGTAGCTAAAATTCTTTGCTTCATTATCGTCACCCATAAACCGCAAGAATGCTATGTAAACGGGAGACATCCCGAGCTGGAAGGCTTCAAAATGCAGGCAAAAGTAACGACCAAAGCAACTGAAAACCTAAAATTTGAGGAAAATTCCAACTATCAGTAACATTCTTCTAACAAACCTTTAACTAAAATCTAAAACAACACAACCTTAACTTTATTGAATCTCATTGGCAAAAAGAAGATAAATTTCTTAGTCATAAATAGAAATCAACTTAGTAAGAGTCTTCGGTTCTCTACAGAAACACTTTCTTTTACTTACAGTCAAGTGTGAGTGTCAAATACAGCTATATTTTTTACACGAGTATATTCAACTTTTTCCAAGTTTTTCCATATATTTGGAAGGTGCTTAGAGGAATCTATCCCCGTAAACATGTCCAGATGTGTTGAATATAGGTGTGGGACACAATGACTCCAAGGTAAAATAAAGTGTCATTGTAACAAAGCAGCAAAGCCACTTCGATAATTTCAGATCCCCATTATGATTATTTTCAATGGTATAATACAAGGGTAACCCATATCTACAAGCACACAACAAATTTCCGGTTCTCGAATTTGCATAAATAGTTTATTAAGTCCTCTTCTAGAGGCTAAGAGAAATACGAGTCAAGGATAAAGCAATTATACCGTCAGCATCCATGTAGCATTTTCAACCTCATGCGGATTTGATTTGACATAACGATGGTTGAAAGTGCAACCGTTGTGCATGTCAACTTTGTGATCATCTTTCAAGTGGGCCACAAGATAAGGAATATCACCAATGACTGAGCATTCTGAACCAGCATAAGGGCAGCTATAAGGTCTATAAGAACATTGGGACTCGTGTTTTAGCTTGCTGTAATACGGATAGATGCCTATGCACCCAAAACTCTGGTATTTACAGGGAAGGTCAAGAGATGCAGCAACCTTCTCCAATGCAAGACACCTAATATTACCAAGTTCATGCCTGCATGTAGGGCACCGGTTATGCACCCTTGTCTTGCAACCTGAACACAATGTGTGTCCATTTGAACACTGCATATAAAGAAAGAATATGAGCAGTTAGTTAAAGTTTATAATGTAAACTGCTTCAAAAGATATTCAAAAAATAAAATATTGAACCTTTACGATGATTTCATACATGTAAGCAATTTCATTAAAGTGATCACCGATTATAAGGTTTCATATGAACAAACCTGGTGAATTGGCGGGTACATTGCCTTTAAGCAAACAGGGCACTCCAACAGCTCCCAAACATTGCTAGACACAGTCACATTAGGTTTAATAGCAGCCTGAGTAAGATCATTAACGGATTCACAATCCATAATGTCTTCATTTTACGGAGGATCAATAACCTCTGGCTTGCTTCACATGCCGTCAAAAATTGGACTCCCAGATGCCATGATATTATCAATGCGTAGTCTAGACTGAAAATACAAACAAAAATGAGTAAACATTATGCTTACTATGAAATGTTCTATATGAACTGAAATCAAGATCAGTTAATTGTTCCAGTTATCATCACTAAGCCTCATGAAACAATATTCCACTATTACTATAATCCTTTCTCCTAAAAGGCCATGCAGAATAACCAAACACAAAGATCAGCTGACATGAACCATCTTAACAATTCATTAAAGAATCAACAACATGAATATAATTAATCAACATTTGATTATTTGAATCAAACATAAACATCAACATTTAACAAGTCAATTAAGAATCAACGACATGAATATAATAGTTCAACATTTGATTATTTGAATCAAATCAACTTGTTTAACATTCAATAAGAATGACGAAGGTTCATCCATGCACATCGTCCAAAACTAGTTTACACTAACAAAAAGGATAAAAAATCCAATAACAAAAACAAAATATTCTTACCACCCACCTTTTGAAGCTCTCAGCTTTTCCCTTGTTCTCTTAAATTTCACCAACCTGACTGCATTCCACCTTAATTTACCACCAAAAAATAAAGGAATAAGAAATCCCATTTTTAAAAAAACGAAACAAAAACTTCATAATTGTGAAGGCAAGTAAGAGCAATGCAGGTGAAATAATAGACAATCTTGCGATTTACTGAACCAAAATAAACGTTAAAAACTTGAAGAATCAAACAGATCTACGTTGTTCCCAGAGAACATTTTACTACCAATGAAGGAAAAGAAATCCAGATACCAAAACACAAACAAAATGAAGGGAAAAACTCACCTTCGGTTCAAACTCGGAAACCCATTTGACGAAAAGAACGGAAACAGAGAGAGACGCCCAAAATGAAAACGAATAAGAAGAAAAAAGTTATGATTTTTGAAGGAGCTGGGCGGATATTTTAATTATTTTTTGGATAGGTGCGTGGAATGGAGAATTTCAAATTAAAGAGACAGAGAGGGTGGGAGCTTGGAAAACGAATCAAGAGAGAGAAATTTCTCGAGAAATACACAAAAGAAAGAGGAAACAGGAGAACTGTGCCTGGCCTTTCGTTTTTGAAACTATTTTTAAATGTGGACAACAAAAGTTTCTACGTGGATTCCACGCGCACAAACGTGCGACTGTGTGTTAAATAACTCGGTTTGCATTTAATTCAGCATTAAACAAAACTCCATTTTAAATTATTGTTGATTTTTTTTTTAAATTCAAAACCACCTCCCTCGTTTAATATGTTTCTTTTTATTTATTTGTTACGTTGGTTTTATAGTTGGAATTCTGATTATTCTTCTAAATGATGTGCCTTTAATATTATTATTTTTTAAGAATCAAATTACTTCAATAATTAAACGAATCATCGTTATTTTTAGATGTTATAAATTTGACCATCAATGATTATAAGAGTAATTAGACGTTAATTATTAAATGATTAAAAATATTTAAAATAAATATTACTTTATAATTAACTTAGTTTAATAAAAATATTTTATATTACTTTTTACATTATAATGTGTTTTATCATTAGATAAATGGTCAAATTATTCATCCAATTACGATATTTCGTCCAGAGTTGAGAGACTTTGAGAAACTATATATTAGGTCCAAAAACTAGGATTAGATAAATATGAGTACGTTTAAAATATAAGTTGGGCTTATGTTTTAATATCGAAATTTTGAACGAAAAATATTTTAAATAGTTAAATTAAATAAAAATAATAATTTAAATATTTAACTTTTTTTAATTAAAATTTTAGAATATATAAAAGGTTATTTATATAAATAAAAGTTAAAAAATTATAAAATTTAAATTATTTAAAAAAATTATTTTGAACGATTGTCTCTTTAGACGGTATGTTGTCAATAGTTTAAAAAATATTTTTTTAGAAAAATTAAAAATCACAATTTCTCTAAAATTATAAAAAATAAACTCAAATCCTTAAAAATCTTTCATCCATAAATTCCTAACTAATCTTGTTATCTCCCTTGTTAGTCGATGTACTTGTCATCGGAATCGTCGGATTGTTCAAGTGTTATTATTTTTGGATTGATATTCATGAGGTGATTTTTTTCCAAAATAGAAGTTCGATTAATGACAGAAACAACGAAAAACGATAGACAATATAAAGATAAGGATCATAAGGAGGACACTTGAATAAGATTATATAAATGCGAAAATGTCATTTAATAGACTTTTTTAACATTAATTACGATTAAAACACTTGAATAAGGCTTATAACTTCGAATGTTTGAATTAACTGGAAAAATATTTAAACACTTAAATGGAAAACTGTAATTAATTTGAACAATTTTTTATAGGGTAAACTACACAAAAGGTCATTAATGTTTGAGTAAATATTGGATTTCGTCATTGATGTTTCAAAACTCACAAATCGGTCACTAACATTATCGTTTGTTAGAAACTGGTCCCCAGCCGTTAATTGTGGTTAACAAGAGTGACAAATTGTTGAATGCCACATGAAGAAGGGCTAGTCCCTAAAGATGATGAAGAAGAAGCTTTACTTGGATTGGGTTGACTGCCACATGAAGTGTCAAATGTCTGGAAATGAAGATGGAGAAGCTTTATTGTTGACTAGATCTAGATTTGATCCTGTTAGAATGGTTTCAATTACTAAAAAGATCTGAGAAACTCCAGCTCCTAAAGATGAACACGAAGAAGACGAAGAAGCAAAAGACGTTGAAAATGAAAGCAAAGAGAAATTAAAAGAACAAGAAGGGCTAGTCCGATACTTTTGAAGCTGAAATGGAACATGAAGAAGTGGGTGAAGCAGTGAAATGCATGTTTTCTTGTGAAGCAAATGAAGAACAAAAAATTCTAGAAGCTGAAGTGGGGTCGAATCTATTTTGGTGAAAGATGAAAATACTAAACTTATAGAAAAAACAAATGTAGAACGTCAAAATAAAGACATAAAAATGTAGTGAAGAGATCCAACAAGAATCAACATCAAAAGAGCAAATTTTGACTGAAGTTTATGTTTTCTGCCCATGATTATTTCACACGCTGACTTACCCTGTTACTGAAAATATTTACAACATATTGTCAGCGAGGTGATATTAACTTCAGGCAGTTCAAGAACTGTGCTGGAATTTCTTTGTGCTGCAAAAGAGAAGAAAAGATCATTTCCGGTATTTGTTTCAGAGGGCGCTCCAAGGTTTGTACTAGTCACTAGAGTTTTTTACAAGGCAAAGACATTTCCTTTAAGTCGATACTCAATACACTTTTGACATCCTCCCTGTAACATTTTTCCCCATTTTTCCTTGATACTCGGTGTTAACTTAGGTATCAGGGGCATCTTCTAGAAAAAGAATTGGTTAAGAGAGGTTTACAGACTACACTAATTACTGACTCTGCAGTTTTCCCATGATTTCCCGAGTAAACATGGTATGTGAAGTTTGTCCTAGCTGTTGACGTTTTCTTGCACAGTTGGAGCTTCATCTTGAGATTTTGTAAACATGAAGGTTATTGTTGGAGCTCATGCTGTCATGGCTAATGGTGGGGTCATAGCACCTGTTGGGCTTAACATGGTCGCACTTGCTGCTCAGAAGCATGCTGTCCCATTTGTTGTTCTTGCTGGTAGTCACAAGGTACTTAGGCATAATAGCTTCCTGACCTCCAACATTCTAAACTTTTTTGTACAATAACAAGTAAAACCACTTTAATTCTTTACTTCAACTTAGATTAACATTTCGTGCACTTATTTATGCCTCTATGATGGTATGAAACTATGAATTTTTTGTTTTTACGTGGTTCCATTATTTTTATTTGGACGAGTTAATTTTTATAGCATGAGGTGTCATTGCATGTGATTAATAGGATAGAATTTGAGAGGGCTATAATAGGAATTAGCACCGCATGGGATTCAAATTTTTTTTATTTGCTCTATCAGATTGAAGTTTTATTGAATCAAAGATAAACAACTAACATGTTGGTTTGATACAGTTTTAAAACAGTATAGGGAAACACTATGTACCATCGCACCATAAGCATTGAAGATCTTTCGGTACCTACTCTAGCCAATGCATCAATTAGCTTCTGTACATACATAAATTAAATACCTTGATTCATGGATCAATAAATTTCCCCATACCTCCATGGTCTCAGCTTTGGCTTAGAACACCTGGGAAAAGCCACCATCAGATTTGATTCACTAAACTGAGTTGGGCACCAAGTGTGTGATGCAGAAGCATTATTATAACTAGCAAAGGGAGGTAAAGAGGGAATAGCATATGTTGGGTGATTTTTTTATTTATTTTTTTGGTGGGGGTTCCTTATATTTGACACAGAAGTTGAAGCCTAGCCATTGGACATTCTCTTTGTTTTAAAAAATAGAGAAGGTAGTACATGGGTACGTTCAGTTATCTGTTAGTTTCTTTTATATTAGTGAGTCATGCATACCTTGTAAGTAGTCGAATACTCGTTTTGGGGGGAGGGGTTCCAGCTATCATTACCTCTCATTATCTTCATAAGCCAGACAGGTCTGCCCAAAGTGATTTGGGGTGGTGCTTGTTTTGTTGCATGTTAACAATGGAATGGTCTAATTGTTGCTGCATATTACTATCTGGATTTGCATGTCAGTCAATGCATTAGTTTGTCAGATTCTCATGACATTTGTGTGCTTGCTTTCTAGCTTCTCATCGGACATTTATTTTCTCCTTAACACGTCTGACGTTGTTACTCCCCTACTTTAAATCTAGACATCTAATTTGAGAGTAAACTTTTAAATTAAGTTTACAAGCTTGAAGAATGAGAATAATAGGGTATATTCTTGAGACCGAGCTTCATTCGAAAGAAATCAACTGAAACTACATAAAATGCCGCTCAGTGGATGTGAGGATGATCAGAGAAATGGTTTCTGTTGTCCCTATATTCTTGAAATTTACTTAAGATCCTACTTGTCGCTTGTTAATTGATTTGTGATCTACATGACAGTTATGCCCCTTGTATCCACACCACCCTGAAGTGTTGCTGAATGAATTGCGGTCTCCATCTGAGTTGCTAGATTTTGGAGAATTCTCGGATTGCTTGGATTTTGGAAGTGGCATTGGTGCCCCTCTTCTTCATGTTGTCAATCCAACATTTGATTATGTTCCGCCAAAGCTTGTTAGTCTCTTCATAACTGATACGTAAGTTAAACTGGACTGCATGGAGTGTAAAAGATTCAGAATTTCTATCCTCTCCATTCATATTTGATATTTGGTAACTGTTTGATGTTATTACCATTTCATATCAAGTTTCCAAATGAATTACTTCACCGCATTTGTAATATTATTGACCAGTTGATACGATGTGGGGATGCAATGCATTACATGGTCTTTTCTAATCCACGTCGATCTTGGGCAAAGGAGAAAAAAGTTGCATGTATTTAGCTTTTCTGTTTCAGGCATTTCTAGACCATCTGTTTTTCGTGGTCCTCTAGTTTTTTATGTCCAAGCTATCACTGATTGCTTTGTGTCTTACAGTGGAGGGCATAATCCATCATACATGTACCGCCTGATTGCAGAGTATTACTCTGCTGATGATCTTGTACTGCACCGAAGAGCTACTTCGGGGAATTAAGTTTACAGTGCTGAGATATACCAGTAAATGCTTTTTCATCCTATGGAGAAAATGTTTGATTGTTGTTAACTGATTGCGGCTAATGTGGTCAATTATTAGTTGCGTGCTATTATGCTTGTTTCATACCAATATTTTTTTAAAAAAAAATGTAAAAAGGTAATTGCATTGCTTTAAATTTGGTGAAATATTTCTGCAACTCAACTTTCAGATTACTTGTGATGTCTGTACGTGGAGAAGATGTGAAATTCAAAACTAACTGTTTTGCTGAAGGGAACTTTGTTAAATTATCCATATGAATGCGTGGAATCAAATTCTTCGGCAAAGTCGACGATAGATGTCACTTTTTTTGTGATTGCGGAGAGATGTAGGACCTAGGAAATAGAATGCAGTGGGAGAAAAAGAGAAGTGAAAGGCAATATCTTGATCTTTGTATGGCCAAGAAAAATTCCTCAGAAATTTATGCATGGAACTCTTGTTGTATTACTGTTGGCTGTGGATGGTGGTACTGGAGATATAGCTCTTTTGGATTTTACTTGTAAATTTCAGAAATCCCCAGTAATCTTTTTATAGATGGATAAAGCAGACATGTCCACGTGCTATAGGAATGAGATTATTGTGAACTCATTCATTAACCTGATTTTTAATATGAATCAAGTTGGCAGCTTGATCAAACTTTTGCATTCATAAGGTTGTGTTTGGGTTGCGTTAACTTAAATGATAGAAGCAGCCCGCCCCCAAATTACTGAAGAAAACGGTGGGAAGCTGTTGTTATCATCTCTGTCCAACCCCTCTTTCATTGATAGTTTGCTTTTGTTTGTTTTTCTACCATGTCTAGGCTTTTAATTACTGAAAGCTTGAGTAAGAAGAAGAGAGAGCTTATTATTAATCAAACTTATTATTAATCAAACAAGTGATGAGGAGTTGAAATAAAGAATATAAACATATACTGTGTTGTTTGGGTCCATCAATCTGCACCATGTGGTGTTGAAAAATGGTGAAACCCAATGATGAATGGAAAGATGTGTTTTTTTTTTTTTTGAAAGTCTATTTACTATTCATTAACCACGCCTGAGCAAGCAAAAATTAAAACTCTATTGCAACAGCCGGGAATCAAACCTGGATCTGTACTGTGGCAGGATACTATTCTACCACTAGACCTCTAGTGCTAACTGATGTTGAGATTACATATTCTAAGTTATTACAATTATCATAACATTTCAATGTCTTTGGTATATAAATAATTATGCTAAATAAGTTGAGGCCATATGATCTTTCTCTTGATAATGTTGATTTTACTTCAATTCTTTGTTTTTCTCGAAGAATTCGTATTTAATACTCATATTTGATAAATGAATATGACGATATGACATCTGGCACCATACAAGTATACGAATGCTCGTATTGGACAAATATCTGTATCTGTATTAAAACATTCGAATCTTGATTAATCAGGCTTTCTTTTTAATGCTTTTTCGGATGGCAATTGACAGCTGAGAGTTCTGCTTCAGACAAAAATAATTCAGAACCTGAAAAGAAGGGGATTTGACATAATTAACACCCTATAAATCTAATATACCCGATATAACATCCTTTCACCAATATTTTCCTAACTAACACTCTTTCGACTGAGGTGACACAAAAGAACATCTCTGGGGATGCGCTTTACTGAGTTTTACTTATGTGGACGTAAGGCGCGTTTCCAGTGATGCGCTTTCCAGCCACGTGTAAAAATCAGGTGCTAATATTATAAATATTTTCAACATAGTATCTAATATATAATTAAATTCTATTAAGATGATATTTATGTAAAAATATCAACTTTATTTTTTTTTTGAAAAAAAAATTCTACGTTAAAATCTTTAAATATTCTATCATAAATTATTTTATAACTCGAATATTCTTTCTAATATTAATTTTAAAAAATATAAAATAAATATTAAATTCTAATGAAAAAGAATGTAAAACTAAAAATTATCACCTCTTTATTTAAACTATTCTTTCTAATATTAATTTTAAAAAATATAAAATAAATATTAATAATTAATGAATATTAATTCATTTAATCCCTTAATTGTAATTAAAAGTTTATTTTAATATTTTTTATATTTTTAAACAATTAATTTTAAAAGTCAATAAATTTTTAAAAAATATATAAAATTTATAATTTTTTAAATTATAAAATATTTCTCATCATCATCATCATTTTATAAAAAAAATATTAATTATAAAACTTTTATAAAATTATTCATATTTTAAATTACTTATCCTCAAAGTTTTCATATACTAGATTATATGTATTGTGTTATTTCATACAAAAATCAAAATTTGTCGAGTTATAAAATAATTTGCAATAGAATATAGAATATTTAAAGATTTTAACGTAGAAAGTTTTTCCATAGCAAAAAATAAATAAATAAAGTTGACGTTTTTACATAAATATCACCCTAATAGAATTTAATTACATATTAGGCACAATTTTAAAAATATTTACAATATTAACATCCGATTTTTACACGTGGGCTAGAATACGCATCCTTGGAAACGCGTCTTACGGCCACATAAACAAACCCTAGTAAAACGCATCCTCGGGGATACGTTTTTGTGCTAGCTCAGCCGAAAAAATGTTAATTAGGAAAATATTGGTCAAACGATATTATATCGGGAATTATAGGTTTATAGGATGTTAGTTAAGTCAAATCGCCTGAAAAAGAAGTTAAAGGCAGTCTCACATCGTAAAGATCCTCCACTTAGACATTCAACTCCTCCACAAAATGTACTGGTATTAAGGATCCTCTACATACATCAAATATACCCTACTTCATTGTTTGTTGATGGACATGGAAGTTTAATGAAATTAAATAGTTAAAACATTAAAATGCTTAACATTTACATCCGAGTTTGCGTAACATAACCTTTGTGGAGATCATTGTAGAAACATAAAGAACAGAAGAAGGAAAGCAATTTTGACACTGGAAAGCTGGCTTCTGCAAGGAAAAGGTTTCAAGAAAGTTATAAAGAAGCTGAGAATGGTTTGGTTTCATCTCTTCCCCCCCCCCCGAATTTCTATGAAATCTTTGAATCCATCACTTGGGATTCATACTGAATGTGATTATTCCATCGTTTGATTTTTGAAGCCAAAAAACAAAGAACCGTACAAGTGATGGACATTCATGAGCTACCACAAGGTCCAAAACCCAGGAATGGTTTCTTTCCAAAAAGCAAGGGAAGTGGTTCCCAAGGGAGGCACTGGCGATTTGGTTCATTGATTTTTGTTTTCCTTCATGTTTTTGATCATTGTATTTTCACGACTTTTATAGGTTATCTTTCCATATTGATAGTGATTAGGTGAATAATTCAGCTTAAAGGCAACCTGTCTTGGGGGTGTTCATGTTTTTTTTGGGGTTATCCGTCCATGTTCATGGAGATGTACTGAATTATTTATTTATCATCTGAAATTCTTGAGGGCCATGGTCATCCATTACCATCAATTTGGGGATGCACCACCATGATTAATGTAATTTTTGGATATTCATGAATTTTTTGAAACTATTTTTGTAGATTAACTCAATTTACTTAATTCATAATATAAAATAAGTGGCTAACACTTCATCCCACTAAATCAACTCGTAAAATTTTAGAAGTTCGATTTAAAACTCTAAAAATGTGCAGGCTTTCATATGAGTTTGGTTGATGGCTTGAAGTCATTTTTTATGGTATGTCAACTGGTTATAAATCAATTTTCAGGTGGAGTGTGGAATAAATTCCAGGACTGGAACCCAGACTAAATACTACCTATTAAAAATAATTACATTAACCAATTGAGCAAAGCTCAGATTTATTTATTTTCCCACTCTTTTTTCATCACTTACCAATACAACATTCAAAAGGGGTAGCTTAGAATGCGTCCATTCCCCATATGCATGTAAATGAACTGAACGTTCAGCGAACCGTTCATGAACCGTGCGATGGGAAGTTCGTTTATGTGCGTTTATTTATTAAATGAACGAACATGAACAAGATTTTGTGTTCGTTTAATTAAATGAACGAACATGAACATAAATCTCGTTTGTTCATTTACGTTCGTGAACGTTCGGTTATGTTCGTTTGGTTATGTTCGTTTATGTTCATTCATTTATGTTTAATACGTTCGTGAACGTTCGGTTATGTTCGTTTGTTTATGTTCGTTTATGTTCATTCATTTATGTTTAACCCAATCTTCTTAAATCAATTTTGGTGACCAATTTGTAAGTATCTTAAAAATATTAATTAATCTGATATTCTAATAACCAACTCCATAATAAACCCAATTTTATTTGGAAAACCCAACAATATTAATATGGTTTAGTTCTTTTTGAACGATCCATAAGTTGCATACCCAACACCGTCAACATCCACTGCGCCGGAACCCTATGTGACTGCACCACCAGCTAGTTATCCGATGAGCAAAGAGGAGTCCCAGAAACCGGTTGATTTCGAAACCAAGTCCAAAGGTGATAAATTCCGGAAGGGATGTTAAGTATTAAGCACCGTTTCTTCTACTCAAATAATCTTCTTTTCTTTCATATATAATGGAGTATTCAAATTTACAAGTAAATAATGATCAACCAACAACTCAAGTCAGCTTACTTTGAACTCAAGAACTCAATAATGGTGAGGCCTAATTCCATAGGTTGAGAAGTTCTTTAACGCGTTTCATCAAACAAATTTTGTGCGCCATCCGGATATAGAAGTTTAGCCAACCGAGAAAGAATGGTTTTTGATGTATGAGTTGGTGTGAACAATAAACCAACTTACTCTCATCTCCCAATTTTCAACTTCTACATAGCACGAAGCTAAAGACATGATTGTTTGATCCCCAAAGATTAAGGTCGGCAATCACATGAAACACAATATGTGTTCATCTCGACTGTTGTTGAAGGAGAGAGGAAGAAAGAAAGTGGAGGAACATTTTGCAATCCCACATCAGTAGCAAACAAGCAGCTCGGTGTTGGTAACTTATATAAAAGAAGATGGGTGAGAATAGGTTTAAGCATCTTTGCGCTTAGGGCAATGTCGTGCTCAAAATCAAGCTTGAGTCTCGAGTTTTAATCGAGCTCTTAATTTTTTTTGAGTTCGAACCTTTTCGAGTTCAAGTCGAGTTTCAATATTATATTTCGAGAGTTTTCGGTTCGAGTCGAGCTGACTTTGAAAGTTTTCGAGTTCGAGTAGAGTTCAGCAATACTCGAGTTCGAGCCTGTATCCAACGTTTATGTTCGTGTTCATTTATATTCGTGTTCGTTTATGTTCATTTATTTATTAAATGAATGAACATGAACAAGTATTCCTTAATAAAAGAACATGAACAAAAAAAATTGTTCGTTTATTTATTAAATGAATTAACATGAACATACCTCCGTTCGTGTGCGTTCGGTTCGTTTACAGGCCTATTCCCCATTCATGATAAGATGCATCCCACATAGAGTTCTAGGATCTATATTTATCATTACAACTACCATGACTTGTTCTTCCTAACAGAAGCTACAAAAACGAAAACATTGACCCGATTCAGTCGATTAACGTATCCTATAGTGCAGATTGGAAAATCATCTCTGCAAGTTCCTGCAACAACACAAACAAATTTCTCATTCCCACATTTTACTGTCAATATAATGGATACAGGACAGATTGGGGAAAGCTCGAGACACAACATCTAACAAAACTGTTTTTCTAGGTTCCTTAATGTGCAATGGTGCCATATAAAAGGTTCTACGAAAAGCATTGCCTTCTGTCATGTTTTGTAGTTCGTTTTCCGATTAGAATTAACATTTGTTCATACTACAATCTAATATAAATCTCTATTTGCTCAGGTTATATCATTAAGTTCGAAAAACTTATAAACGTTTTTAAATTTAATATATCTAACCTGCTTGGCTGAAGCCACCTTGGGCTCTCCCCATTCCATGGCTTTCTTTTCAAGCATTTCAAAATCAGTATTACCGGCCTGTTTGATGATGGATTACTTCCATTAGCGGTTTTGCCAAGGATATGTAGACTTTAAGCCAAAAAAAACAAGTTATCATGAAAATAAATAAATAAATAAACGCATCACCTCAATCTGGCTACCAAGTTCTGTGTCGAAGCTGGAATACCGTTTACGAACAAGCTCAGCTAAAGAACCATCCTATAATGATGATATCCATATTATCAATATATGAAAGGGGGAAAGTATGAGGCATTTGGTTAAATTTCATCTCAAGCAGAAAATATAGAGCAAACTTCCATATTTTATTACCTCAATCAGCTTAGCAGCATTTCGGAGCCCACGGGCCAATGTGTCCATTCCGCTAATATGAGCAATGAACAAATCCTCTACATCTGTACTCTCTCTCCGCCTATAAAACAACAGAAAGTAAAAATTCATCTCAAGCAGGTAAAGATGATGAGAGTCTAAGTAAACACAACACATGAAGAAATAATGAGGGAAAATTTACTCACAATTTTGCATCGAAGTTGAAACCTCCTGGTGCTAATCCTCCCTGTCACAAAAATGCAAAAAATGTAAAATCATTGAAAGTAAAATACTCTTTGAAGTATAGAAAAGTAACTAAAGAATCGTTCCCGTACATTTTTTATCACACTGAGCATAACCATGGTTGCCTCTCCAATATCAGTCATGAACTGATCAGTGTCCCAACCTGTATCACAAACAAATCAATATCTTTAACACTTACAGGATTTTATTGCTGTGTTTGAAAACATAAAATAAGATTACTTCGTAAAAATAGAATGTTTTAAGTTACTGGATCGTACCAACTTGAGGATCTCCGGTGTTTGCATCGATATTTCCTAACAATCCATTGATTCTTGCAGTCTCGAGATCGTGATGACAGCTGCCAATTACAGAAGCACGATAGGTTAGTAGAGGAATTTACATGCACACAATTGTTGGGAAATTTTACTCGGAAATAATGTGCAAGTATAAAAAAATTGAAGGCACGGAATATGACAAACCTGTGACCAGAGAGTGTGGCATGGTTGCACTCAATGTTAAGTTTGAATTCCCTACAAAGGAAATAGTTAACACTGAGTTAAAATAAAACCACCAAATGGCATAGATAATACCTAGGCCTAGATAGAAACTCGCTGGAAGAAAGTCTCATTTTCTTCTAGATATAAATTAGAACCATGATTTACGAAAACAACAGAGTTATCAACTATCATTTGGAACGCAATGTTAGGGATCAGACAAGAATCCATTGGAACTCACCAAGCAGCCCATATTTTCTCAAGAAGTTAAGTGTTGTAGCAGCATCCCAGTCATACCTGTAAAAAACAATCAAATATAATTCATATACAAAACAATGAACTTGACAGATATTACTAACTAAGAATGGAAGGGATTGTTGAAACGTACTGGTGTTTGGTAGGTTCTTGAGGCTTAGGTTCAATTAGCAGAGTTCCTGAATCAAAGAATATTCCATCAGAACTACAGAAAACAAAGAAAAAGATGAAAAATAATTACAAGAAAACAATCATGTGGTCCAGAATGGCATCATTATTTTGTTCCCCTCCTCCACACCACCTATATTTGCAGGAAAGGAAGCTAACATGTAGTCTTTCAGATTATTGATGGAAAATTACCATTGAATCCAATCTTCTTCTTGTAGGCAACAGCCGCTTCAAGAAACCTTGCCTGTCAAAATAAATAATAAAAAAATTGAAGAAACCTTGCTTCAAGAAACCACATTGGAAACTTAGAAAAACACTCGATTGGGAAAATGCTTAAGATAAAGTAAACCTTTTAACATTTTAAACAATAAGGCTGACATTGAAAAACATTATTCAGCAGATTTCTAAGTACGAAATGAGAAAAAAAATATATACCAAATGATCAAGCTCTCTTTCCATGTCTGTGTTTAAGAGGGTTTGGTATCCTTCACGACCACCCCAGAAGACATAATTTTCTCCCCCAAGATAATGTGTCACCTATAGGAAGGGAAGGCAAAGCACCATATAAAGAACTTATCATAAATAAGACCAATGTAACTTTAATCCAAACACAAAATATACACAGAGTTCCCTCTGAATGTTACATAGAATTAGACACCCACCTCCATAGCTTTCTTGACTTGAGCAGCAGCGAAGGCATAAACACCCAATTCAGAGCTGAAAAGCAAACCCAGAAGTAATAAGTTCATCAAGGGACAAATAGATCAATTTCTATGCAAGATATATATGGAGTGTATACACAGAACACTCAATTAAGAATACCTTGTAGCAGCGCCATGCATATAACGCGGATGCAAAAATAGTTGAGCTGTACCCCACAGAGGACGGATCTTGTCCCCCTACATAGTCAAGGAACATATATTTGGAAAACATATAAGTCAGTCTTGTATCAAACAAGAGTGTCAAATTATTTCAAGCAATGTGAGTCTTCGAGCACAAGATTCTTTATGCACAACTATTTATATTCAGTTACAGAAGAACGATTAGCCAAAAAAATGGAAGTCACAGACCTCAACGACATCCCTTCTCATATTTCAAATAAAAAACATGTAATACAAGTTTTCTATTCTTTCCCATCCAATCAAGCACCCAACAAAAATAGAAAAGTAGATTTGGCAGTCTTTGTTCCTCATGTTAGAGAAGTAGAAAATCACATAGTAGTTTAATACATTGTTCAAGTTCTATAAATGATAGCTGAGAATCCATCAAAAAGTAACTTATATTTTTAACTCAACCTGCTTAGGTGAAGTGCATATGCCCAAAGTTTAAAAATCTAGTTTAAAAATAAATAATGGATAAATAAGCTATAATAAGGAGATCTAAACTAAGAAAGGGGAAACAAAAGGAGGTTAAGTACTTGAGTAAACATCAGCCATTTAAAACGTTTTGCAAATTCAACCAATTACCTGAAGTTCTTTAGCAAGAGCAACCACTTCATCCAAGTTTGAATTAGTTTCCTACAACAAACACGATAAAGAAATGATTGATAGACAATTGTTAAAGAATAATAAGAGGGGTTTTAAGGTAGCTTAGTCAAAACCAGTTCATTTCCAAGCATTCATACATAAAAAGCAACTTTAACAATCAACAGGAAAAATATCTAACCTGTAGGGTTTTGCCATCGGGAGCAATGTCCCTGTCATGGAAACACCACCTATCAACTCCAAGCTTGTTGAGGAATTCAAAGTTGGCTCTCACTGCAATTGTTTCAAAAAGGAGAAAAAAATTACTAGATGCTGTGAACTTGTATTAATTAATCAATAACCAGAGGTAGGTGGGCATAACTAATTATCATCTTACTTCTTCTTTTGGCCATAGCAATGGAATTTGTACCATCTTCCCATGGCCAATACTTCGTGGGAGCACCAAAAGGATCAGCACCGGTACCACGGAATGTATGCCAAAATGCAACACTAAATCTCAACCAGTCCTAAACCATAAACAATAAGTCAGCAACCTTCAACATCTTGATAAATCTTACATAAGTTAAGAGCAGATATTTGAAACCAACCTTCATTTTCTTCCCAA